TATATACATATATACATATATACTTATATACTTATATACATATATACATATATACATATATACATATATACATATATACATATATACATATATACATATATACATATATACACATATACATATATAGATATACATATATATACATATTACATATATATATATATATACATATATGCATATGTGTATATATATATATATATACATATGTATATATATATAAACATATATATATATATATACGTATATATACATATATATATATATATATATACGTATATATACATATACATACATATGTATATGCTAACTATAAGTAAAAAGACACTCTATGCGGGGAGATTGGTAGTCTTATTCCGAACCCTATTCTGGGACTTCAGGTCTAGCACTTAAAGCTCGTGCTTGCAGGGTTTAGGGTGTGGAGACCTTGAACCTGCAACCTCAGCCCAAACATCTGTAATCCAAAAGGCTGCAACCTTAACATCACACCGTTTAGGCTTAGGGCTGGGGGTGTGGGGTTTGGGGTTTGGGAGTTAGGGAGCGAGGGTGTAGGGCTTGCGCGACAGTCATGGAGCCCCTGGCCTCGAAACTCACTGTGTTGGAGTACAAATAATTAAGAAAAGGAAATATCTCTCCAAGGCGCTGTTTTGTAGCACAAGTTAAGTATTCTTGTGGCCTGCATAGTACAAATTAAGTACGGGAAAAAGCTCCCCGACGCGCGGGCTGATCAGCTGATCGGCTGAAGCGCAGCTTGGAAACCCAGTTTGCGACCGCAATGAACATTCTGCAGCATGCGCGTGACCTTGCCTCTGATGTAGCTCGTCAAGGTGCCGGCACAAAACTCCATGTAGATTGCATCAGGCTCGCCGACATGCGCCGTGGTACAGCCTTGCACGACATAGAGGCTTTGGCATTGCTGCAGCATCTGGAATTCTTGTGCTGCGCCCTGGCAACCCCGCTTTACCTCAGAACAAGAAGCTGCAGCATATGTGCCAGTTGGAGCTATCAACTTTCAGTGCACTTGAAGTGGGTGGCACCAAGTGTGCCTAATTATGCTGACTGCAACAGCACAATAGCACAATACAAGTTCTAAGGCCCACCAATAATGCATGCACCGGACCGCATGGCTGTCCTCCTTGTAGACTGCGCCGTAGTTGCTTCTGCTCAAAAGAATGGGTGCCGTTGCATAGGTTTCCTGCCGGTTGTGCTCCACTTGTGTGGCGCTGTGCGAGGCAGCACGCGCATGGGCCTCTCATAATGGTTGGAGTGGTGCTGGCGCCAGCTAAAGGTGGTCCATGCGTAATGCGGCCCATCTTGCCGCTTCGCGTGCCGCGTAGCACGCCCATGCCACGCAATTCCCACCACTTGAGCCGGTTTTGCAGAATGGCCATGCCACGGGCCGGTGAACATTGCGACTGCCAACGAACCCAGACAGCAAACTAAGCATGCTGGCACATTGATTGGCATCTCCACTGGCACTTTGCTGGAAATCAGAGCTGCTTTCGCAGCTGCTGTCAGGTCAATGGAAGAAACTTGGCCAAGGTACAGGCACAAACCCAAGAACATGGCTTCTCCCCAGCTGAGAATGAAGCACATTTCGCATTTGAAGTGGGTGTTGGAGAGCAAGAGGAAGCTTGCAGCAATCAGGAGCAACAATGGCAGTTGCCTCGTGGCTGGATGCGGTTGCACTTTGGCACGATGTTCGCAACTTTCTGTCATCTCAAGCGGGCCATCCTGCGCCTGCGCACTGACAGTGAAGCCCAACGCAACATAGCATATAACAGCTCCGACGAAGCCGAGAGGTAGTAGAGCAAGAAGCTTGCCCAGCGCCCTTTGCAAAGCGAGGTCGCGAAGTAGCATGACCCCCGGGCGGCAGGCACTGTGCAAATCGAGCTTGATAGGCTCTGGCTTTTAGGCTCCATGCATATCCCCTAAAACGGCTGAATGCACATCTCGCGGCGTGTCATGAGGTCAAATACTCGCAGGCTCCGAAGTCTGGGATGTATCACCTGCGGAGAAAACTCAACGCCACTGGCTCGCAAGCCTGGCATTGCAAGCCGCTGCACCATGCTCTTGATGCTTGAAGAAACTCCTGGCAACGTGACATGGCACGTGTGATCCCGGCTCAAGCGATCAATCTATGCAACACCCCGACAGCATCAGAAGCCTGGGCCTTCATTTTCATCATTCAGAAAGGACCGCTACTCCCAACTGTAATGATCTGGAGTCTCCTTTCAGCTCTTCAGCCATGCCGAAAGCGGTCATGTCGTAGAGATTGTTCTACACCAAGTTATCTACAGCCACTAACTGCGAGCTGAAGAAGATGCATGCCGGGCAAGGTGGGTGGGAGCCGAAAAATTCTGCCCCAGAATGATGCCATGTCTGTTGCACAGCTCGGAGCTCGAGCAGCTTCGGCTGTAGATAAAACACAATGGGCCGTAGAAAACTGGTGTAAAACAGAAGTGAGTAAAAACAGTAACCGTTCTACAACAAGTTATCTACAGCCACCGAGCACCAAAACTTCGCAAACAAGTTTAGCTCAAAATATATCATCGCACAATGTTTCTCAGAAATCCCATCCAATGCATATCGAAGTCACAGGACAGACACAAGCCGAGAACCCTGCACACAGACTCCGCTGTTTTTCGAGTCGTGGTGTTTTACAAAGTCTGTGAATGCGAAGGACCTGACGCATGCCAGAAGGGCAGCTGCCTTCTCTGGGGCTTCCATCAGAAAATCATCCACGCACGCCAGGAGACAGAGGAACAGGTGAAGGACCAGGAAAGCGGGGAGAAGCGAGCCCACCAATAAGCAGAGAATGAGGCCCGAAAGGGCAGCAAATGTAAGCGTAAAGCTCATCGTCCATGCGAAGCAGATTGAGACCCTGCTCTTCCGGAAGTATCCGGAGCGACCTGTGAGCGGACTTGATGTCCATCACCAGTGCATTGCACGGAGAACATTCACCTCTCACGGGGGAGGCCACGCGGACATCGTATAGAGACGGAAGGCCATATTTTTCGGGTATATGGCATGCCCCATTGGCATTGGAAACACTTGAATCCATGATTAATCTTGGCTTTTTTCAAACACCGCTGACTGGTATATCTTGCGCAAAGCCTGTCGGCACGCCCTGCAAGAGACAAGGCCAAAGTGAGCGATACTTGTCTTCAACAAAAGCAGCCAAGTGCCGCAGTGCCCACAAGGCGTAAGGTCAGGTTGCCCCCCGGGTGCCTCCCAGAACCCTGAGTCCGGCATTTGCAAGTCTTTGCGAAAAGGGAGCGACCTCTTCCGCGCAGAAGAGAGGCACGTCGCGTGTGCACCACCAGGCGCTGGGGGGCCTGAATGGAGAAAAGGAAAGAGTGAAGCTCCTTGCGCAGTGGACCCAGAACATCTTTCAGGCCCGGCTATGGTGATGACCAGTCAGGAAGCGAATACATACCCCCTCCATCTTGAGAGGCACACGGAAAAGAAGAGCGGTTTCACGGGTATCGTTGCCAGAGCGGTTTAGCGTCTACAGGTAAACACATGCTCCACACACAGAGGCCTCTTTCAAGTACTTACGTTACATAACATATGTAAACCTTCTGCATGTGCCTATGCACATCTATAAGAACTTTTGCACTTTGCGAGCTGCAGAGATCCGTCTCGGCTACTTGCTATGGGGGACAGGCGTTTCCGCCCGGCAATGCTGTGCGCTATGCACATCCCCCCCCCCTGCGAAAACAAGAGCAACTCTTGCCCTCGGTACTAGTACCCTTCTAGCAGGGCCGGCCAACCGTCTCTTGATAAAGAAAGAGGTAAGTATCATGACTAAGATCATCCACGTTATCACACCGAACAGCAGCAACACCATCATCCGTGAACCAACACTGATCACTGTGATCGAAAAGAAGAGCACGGTAATGGCCTTGAGTTGGGGCTTCGCCCAAATGAACAATCACCGATCTGAGTTTGTAGGATCGAGGGCGGCAGGTGGTATTGACATCAAACTCCGGGAAGTAGACAACCGTAGAAGGGTGAACCCTGTATCTACGTTTCCGCGCTCGACCCTCTTCAAAGTGAAATCGGCCTACCTGCAAAATCATGGCTGGGGCGAGCAAGGCGGCAGCATGCACTGGTTGTTGCCGGTGCCAAGTGTCCACGAGGTCTTGAACCGAGTAGGAACCACTAGAGTCATCGGCTAAGTCACCCGGGGGCAGGAGGCTAAGGGGCACAGATTGTCCTTCATCAACAACACAGAGCTGCGCTTGCTGCCAAGCCCTTGCCTGCCAGAGCACAGTGAGCCCCCGCTGATCAACCTGCGGGCGGCCCATCAGAAACTGAAGGAACTCAGCAGCGTCATGCTGCAGTTCCGGATTAGCCCAGCTATGCATCATGGAAAGCCACTCAGGATTCCTCCAGACGTGGAACACTGGGGCTGAAGGCTGGAAAAGAGCTCGGAACTGATCTCGAAAAATCTTTAAGGAGCCGGTGTGGCTTTCCAGGTGCAACAACCCCAAAAGGATAGCATTGGAGTAGCAGTAGTTTCTACTGTTGCCCAGCCTCACCCAGAGCGTTGCGTCAGTGTCGACAATCTCTTGGCCAGCGCGCTCATCCGAAGCCGCTCGTGCCGGAGAAAGCAGCCTCCCGAGGCCCAGACGGCAGAGCCCGCCAGTTTGTGCAGACAATGCCACGTGTCTTGGGCCGCCTGAGTCCTGAGGCCCACTTCGAGAAACATTCCCAACACCACAGCCTGGTACTCCTCCGCAAGGGGGCGGGTTGCATGGAACCGCTGTATCACCAGAGGGGCCGTCGCCGCGATCATGAGCTTGTCCAGGGCCTCCTCTATCTTCCGAGGTGTGAAGGTCTCGGCCTGCTCGTCCTTGACGTGCTGTTGGGACGTCGGGTCCCAGCGGATGCCGTGAACTTGCTTGCCACACTCTGAGATCCATCCCAGTCCTGCAGCCGTCGATCGGGAAGACGGAGATGCCATCATCGCCTGGAAGCGGTCCTTGATGACTTCGAGGAGGTGTTGGTATAACACCACCCTCATCGGTGAGCTCAACGCCGCCGGGCCCTCCCGCTTCTTCTTGTGCCAGGCTTGCCCGATGTGGTACAGGCTCTGACCTAGATTCTGTGGCGTCCGCGTTTGGACGAAGATCATGAAGCCAGTGTCTTGTCGGGTTATGCTTCGTTGTGCTTCCTGCCTCAAGACCAAGGTGGAGAGGAGGTTGACGACGTTCCGCACCTCCTGCAGCTCGTCCTTGTCCTGCTCTTTGGTCCCCGCCCGCTGATTCTGCGTCTTCCGAGCCCTCCATGGTGGCTTGTCCTCCGGAGACGTTGGCGCCGACCAGGAGAGCCTGATCGAAGGGGTTTTGTCGGGGCCGGCCTTGGGTTTCGTCCTTTGCCTTGCTGTTGACGTCCTTTGGGTCCTTGCTTTGGCCACTTGGACGGGTGGTTTCGGCTGTGGTCCGGGTCGTTGTCCGTCGCCTCATGGTCCAGGTCCTGGGCCCAGTCCATCTCCATCCTCCCCTCTTGTGGCTCGCGCAGGCCCCCTGTCATGGAGCGGAGGAGGTTCAGCTCCTGTGTCGCCATCATCAACTCCGTGGGAGGGGGCATCTCCATCCTTTCGAACATGGCTGACCCGGGAGTCAGGCAGGCTACCCGTGAGAACCAAGGCCTTGCCCCTAGCCAGCCTGCGATGCAAGTAGACCCCATTGAAGACACCTATGCAGGCTCGGAGATGAGCATCCTTACGCTTGTAGCTCTGGCCGCAATACTGACAAGGATTGGTCAACCCCAACTTGCTATCCTTGATTTCCTGGATACATCTCTGAATGAGGGCATCGCAGTCGGGGTGTTTCTGGGACATGTGCCTCCTGACGTACTGGGGCTTCGCACTCCAATGATTGCACTCGACGCAGTGGTGGTGTTTCTCCGGAATACACGGAAGCAAAGCCAGGTCTTGCCACCCACAATTGTTGGCACATTCAAGTACCTCTTGCGAGTGTATCAGGGCATCCGTTAAGAGGGGCAAAACCATCTGGGTAGTGGCCTGTTGCTTGTACAGTGCCCTGAGAAACTCGCAGCTCCTTGAATTCACGTGGTAGTTGAAGGCATGCCAGGTGCTGAACTCGTGAAGACAATGCTTACATGTGGGCATGCCATCTTTGGCATGGGCCATCTCCGCATTCTGTATGGCTACCTTGACTTCTTTATCCCGGAGCTGCTGTTGTTCCTCATCAAGATGGTTGCAGTACATGTGTCGGCGCAGAGACGCTTGGGTGGAGAACTCCTGTCCGCAAATTTCACAGCTAAAGACCTCATGTAGAACACAATCCACAGGCTGAAGCCTAACTGTGCTCGGGGAGGGGGTGGCAGCAGTCAGGTCCCCCCAACCGTCAGAACACGCAAAGAGCTGCCCCCTCACAACGGTGCGCCATTGTTGCTGAGCTTCACCTGGGCTGAGCGTCGAATGAAGAAACTGGTCAGCCTCCACACGTAGCTCAAGTGCCCGGCGTAGGCGGCGGATAGGATCCGGGAGCCGAAGCCGAGCTGCAAAGGCGACATTGGTCTCCCTGGTGAGCATACTGTGCGAATTGGCAATGGCGCGGGCTTGCTTGAGAAGCTGGGTTTGCAGGGTCTGCATCTCTTTTATGGGGAGTCCTGTGCAGTCCAAACCATGCAGCAGCGCCGGCCATATGCAGCCTAGCCAAAGCTGCATACGAAGGCGAACTGGCACCACACGGTTGCGAAGTATCTTGCCGAGCCTTGAGTAGGTGTTGCGGGCCAGGGTGAGCCTGTGCTTGAACGTCTCCTGCTCGAACTTCCGGAAACAGATCACTGCGCCCAGATAAACGTGTTTAGAGACAATTTTGATGTGCAGCACCTGGTCCGGCAGGGGGAAGCGGAAGTAGCGATTTCCCTGACGGGTCACCGTGTACCGTTCTAGAGCTCGCTGAGCCTGAGTTCCAACACCGCCACCGTCTTGTCCTGACTGATGGTCAGGCCGTGCCTGAGGAGATGAGTCAGGACATGCTTCATGGCCGCATAAGCTCGTTCTAGATCTCTGCCATTACAGATCGTCCAGGCATAGTGCATGTCATCTGCGTAACTCGTGTTAGTCTTGGTGATGTCGAGAATCTCAGGATCATGCATGCCCTGTAGCAGCCAGCCACAATACACTGCCCATAGCAGCGGAGAGAGGCCGCAGCCTTGACGAAGGCCGCGCTTGAGACTAACAATGCGTTCTAGGCCGCAGTGTTTGATGTGTAAACCCGCCGTGTGATGTATGAGCAGAATGGCCTCGATGAGTGGCTCCGGGGCCTTCGCCTCCCTGAGTGCCTGCTGCAGAGAAGCCCAAGGCACGTGATCATAGGCGCAGGAAACATCCAGCGATAGGTGACAGCCCCCATAGATACCAAGCCCGGTGCGTCCTTGGCGTTTGCCGTGGATGTTGTTGGTGTTGGCGGAGACCAGCGTGCGCACACAGGCGCAATGCCCGATGACACGCTCGAGAGCCTGCGCCAGGGAGCGGCCGCCCACATAAGCGTACTGTGGAACCTGCTTCAGGCATTGATTGGCTGGGCCTTGAAGACGGGCTGCGAGGACCGCCGCGAGGACTTTGGCTTGTAAATGTAGCAATGAGATCGGTCTCAGATGTGCCGGGGACTTCATGGGTTTGCCTGGTTTGGGCAGCAGGACAAGCTCGCTTAAGCACCAGGCCCGTGGCAGGGTGGCAGCACCAGGCTGCAAGTAGTGTTGGAACTGGAGCTGCAGAACCGGGATCAATTGTTCTCTATACTGTTTCCACAGAGCGACCGGAGCACAGGAGCCTGGCAAAGCTTTGCCAGGTTTGAGGCGATTGAAGGCCTTCTCGACCTCGTGATCCGTGATGCCCGGGGCCTCGGAAAGGACGGGTCCGTCCGAAGCTGGTCCATCGTATAAGGTCTCGAAGTGGCGGACTATCTGCTGAAACTCGGCCTCGTGGGTCTGAAGGTGGCCGTCGGCAGTGCGGAGCTGAAGCCTGCGACGAGGGTTGCGGGGAGCAAACTGCTTGGCTGCCTGAAAAATGTTGTCTGCCTGAACGACCTCGGCGACCCGCATGATCTTCTTGTGTCTGCACTCCCGCCGGAGGGCTCTAGTTTGGGTCTGCAGCCGCACGGAGAGCGACCATGCTTGCAAAATGATCCTGGGGTCCATGCCAACTCGCCTCCACCTGCCGAGCCGCACGCCGAGTCTGTGGAGGGCCCCACGGGCCTGCCACATGGCCTGCACCTGCGGGGTCAAGGCATCGTCGCTAGGTGGTGTTTGCCTGGCGGGTCCTTGGGCCACCGCTTGCCTCCAGCCTGCCAGCAGCAATTTGTCAGGGCACAGTACCTGGGCGGCATGGTAGTCCGCCTGAGGCATGGTGCGCATGATCTCCTGGCCGAGCTCGTGCGCGAAGTCGGTCTGGCCAAGAGCGCGCTGGACCTGTTTTGGCGAGAGTCGGGGTGGTTGCACCTGCCGTGATCTCCTGCTTGGCGCCACCATGGCAGCACACACAGGGAGGTGTCTGCAGCCGGAATGGGGGACGAACTCCGTCATGAGCGGGGCGGCTCGTCTGGCGGCTTGATCCGCTTGCGCTGCTCGAACAATGACATAATCTATCTGGGTCCCCTGCTGCGCCGTTGCATGGGGTGGCACATAAGTGCGAGCCAAGTGTTCAGCGCACAGCATCCATGAGTACGCAGTAGTTCCTGAAAAGTGCCTTGATCTGGGTGGGAAGCGTTCGTCGACGCGACCACCCCGGTCCCGCAGATCGGCTGTTCTGGGGTCAGGCTGGCATTGAAATCACCGGCAAGAGCAAAGAAGCTACTCTGCGATCTCCCCCCTAACCACTTGTCAATGCCTTGCCAGATTTCGCGGCGCTGCTTGATCATCTCGCTGATCCTGTGCTTGCCCTGAAAGGCCTGTTTCCCAGGATTCCAGGCCCACTGGTAAGTGCATAGAAGGTCAAACGGTGCCGCTAGCTGGAGCCGCACATGGAGGAGACGGCCCGGGCTGAGGACGCTGTAGCGGAGGTTCTCTGGTCCGACCACTCCTGTGCGTATGAGACAGAGTATGCCTTCATGATCGTGGCCGGAGCTGTGCACGGCATGCCAAGTGATGGGGTCTGGGCCTCGGCCTTTGCCGTAAACTCGAGGTCCTCCTTCCACCAGGATGACACAAATGTCGTGGCCCCTCCCAGCAAGGTGTTCCTGCTGCAACCAGGTGAGGATCTCGCGGTATCGGACACTGGTGAGGCCGCCGCTGTTCCAGCATAGCAGTCGTAGACGTGGGGCCTGTAGCGGAGGAGTGGGCGTGGCACTGGGGCCCGATGCCGGACCTCGACCGCCTCGTACTTGTCGGATGTGCATGAGTTTGCCTCGATACCAGGTGGTAGAGGTGGTGCTCTGACCGGCTCGAGTGATTGCTCTTTGGAGGGCCCGTTTCCGCGTAGTGGGGGGGCCCGATCGTATCTGCGTGGTCATGTGGCGCGATGCACTTGGCTTCGCCCTGAGGTTTATAGAAGAAATCTGGTCTGAGGCTCCCGGGTCCCTGTAGTGCTCAGCGGACCCAACCCTCACATCTACAGCAACGGTCTGTTCGAACATCACGAGAAGAAGAAGCGCAACCCACAACTTGGAGTTCAGGGAGTGCACTTTGCCGATGCTGTCCCGGGACTTGGGACCCGGGCGGCTGCTCGATATCGTCGTAGGGCGGGAGGGCGTTGGCCTGGCAAGTTGTGTTGCCTGTGGCAAGCAATGGTGCCGCAGGGCTGTGACGCTCAAGAGGGCGAGGTGCCCACGGCAGCGGGGTTGTCGGCATTGACGCGGTGAGCTCGCCAGGAGGTACCTGACCGCGGTGTCAAAGCTAGGCAGGACAACCTCGACAATCCACATGCAAAGGAATATTGCACAGGTATAAGTCACCGACCACGAAGAGGGGGAGCTGCAGGTACCGTACCTGGCCATCCGGGGCAAAGACAAGGACATTGAATTGGCGCAACGATGTGCAAGCTGGGCTGGTAGAGGCTCAGTGTTCGCTGCCACCAACTTTTCTCCATGTCGGGTTGGCTCATCGACGAGGGGTTGTTTGGACCCGGCTGTGTCATCAATGTTCTCGTCTACAAACCGAAGCTGCTGTATGGCGAGGTTAGCACACAAGATGGGAGTAGCCCAGAGATCCATGACAGCCCGGGTCCCTACGGCTCGTATGGTCGATATCAAAACCTCGCACCGGGGAAGTCCTGGGTGGATGCCCGGTGAGCTGTGCGAGCTCGGTTGGCCCTGCAGCCCTCGGCTAAGTTGCCCATCCCTAGGCTCAGTCTTCTCGGGTACGCCTGGGTAGCCAGTGTACAGTCGTATGTGTGTGACTGTTATGGCTGGGCAGTAGGCACAGCCCAGTGTAGGCACAACCGGCGCAGCAACAAATTGAGGCTCTGACTTGCAGTTGACCTTGGGCTTGGCCGTCGGGATGAGAGCCGGCCCCGAAGATGACGCCGTGGTAGTGGTCGGGGTGTCCCACGAGGCCCTGGCTGTTGAGGTTGTGCTCGGGTCAGGGCGTCGGCGGCGATCGCGGCGGGGAGTCGCAGCATCCGGGAGCTCGCTGGCCCATTCGACCACTCTGTTGCCGCGGTGCCTCATGACATCCTCGTACTCAAACTCAACCTGAAGTCTGCGGAACTAGGTGCTCGGCGTGGTCCTCGGTGTCCTCGGCCTCCTCGGCGTCCGCGGTGTTCGGGGCCTCATGGTCCAGGGGGTCGATCTCCAACGTGTTACCGCAACAGGTCTGCAGCTCACAAGCCTCTGCGCCTCAGGCGATTCCTCCCGGAGATGTTAGAGCAGTAGTGCACTTGCCATGTTAGGAGAGCCTGGGTGTCCTGGCTTGTTGCTTGTATGTGGAGCCTGCGCTTCGATGTAGGGCTGCCTTCGTACACAGCGGCTCAAATCGACCCAGCAGTCCAGGAATACCAAGGCATGGCAGACTTTCCTGACTCCCTCCCCGGCTCCGCTGACTTCGTGGATGATGAGTCACCCAGGGGGGCCGAAGGCGGGCCATGGGGTCCACCGGTCCCGCTGCCAGTGCAGGCTCTCCGTGTGCCTGCCCAGCAGCTGGCGGGGAGGATCGCCAACTTCTACGAAGCTGAGGGGCTGACTCCGGCGCATATCCTCTGCCACCTCCCATGGAATTGGAGGGAGCTGACAGACTTGTCCGTCACCGTGGCCCACCTCACCCACACGGAGGGGCTCCACCCTAGCGACGTCGGCGCCTCCAGTTTTGAAGGCCAGAGGGTGCTGTGCAAGCTGGGGTAGTACAAGAGACACCACCGCTGTAAAGCGGCTTCGTCCGGAGGGTACGCCGAAAGCCTGGCTGCAGAAAGTAGGGCACGTGGATGTCCATCGATCCACTTGATGTCCCAAGCATTAAAGTAGTCCGGGTCGTACAGCCAGCCTCGTGCCTCCTGGCACATGCATTGGCCCAGGAAGGTCCGAAAATGTAGTCTGGGCTCCCGCCGTTGACACAATTCTCTGGCGTATTCTCTCGCCGGGCTGGCGGGAACCTTGTTTCGACCTCGGAGGCCTTGGCACATCTCCACACCGCCGTCCACACTGCCACAAGAGCCACCCTGTGGCATATCTTCTGAAAGCACATGTGGTTCAGAGCAGAGCCGGAAATTCTTGGATTTGCCGTGATCACGGCTGCTCTCGAACCTGTGTCTGCCGGCCGCAGCTGCCCTATCCTACCGGGGGTTCCGGTTCCTCTGCAGCCGAAATGCTTATCTATAAGAACATACATACATACATACATACATACATACATACATACATACATACATACATACATACGCATATCCATACACACATCCATACGTACATACATACAGACATACATACGTACATGTGTATACATGT